AACTACAAGTCAAGCTGCAATACCAAACAGGACCACACGGAGATGTCAACAGACCACTACACCAGTCACCTTAACCTGACTGTATATAAATACAAGGATTCATTCAGAATTATTCAACAGAGCAAAAGACAAATTTAAAAAGCATATAAAAACATTCTGAATTTGTCGAATGTGAGGATCTGAAGACAGCACAACATCACCAGTGAACAGTTCCTCTGTCAGAGTGAGTGTTGAGCCCATATGTATATAAACACCACGAGAGCTGGGTAGTAACTGAACACATGTAATTACGTAACCAGATTCCAAAAATTACATTTTTAAATACTTGTAATCAGACTACAGTTACTTTTTATGGATTACATGATTACATATAATTTACACAATAGCAATAAATTATTCATAATTCATTGATTGATTCTCCCTAATTCCTCTTTTCCATCTTTTAAATTTTCCTTTCTAAACTAGGATTTACAAAAATAATTTCAGGTTTAAGAATTGTTTTAACTTTCCATCAACTAACTACTGATGAACAAATTAATTTTTATTTGAATGATCACTCAGGAGGTTATTTACCCATGCATTTCTATGTCTTTGGAAGATGTGTGTCTTTCAAACACATTAAAATGCACAAATTCACAAACTTTTTTTGTTATCAGATCATCTTTCGCCTAATATATTTACTTGAAGTACCCCTGAGACTTATATAATAAATATTTTAATAATAAAGTATCACATTTGCATGCTCATGGTTCTCTGACGTTGGTTATGGTCACATGACATGCAGGTAAACAAACAAAAAAACATTTTTTAGTAGGCCTACCTGTTTTATTTTGATTGATTTTGAAATGATTGATTTTAATTTAACATTTTTATGATTTCATTAATTATGAGCTTTTCATTAAACTAACAAACCTCCTGCAGTTCCTTCACAAACCCGTTTGGGAAACCTTGACAATATAATGTAATGTTTAATGCACTTCATGCTGTTAATAGCAATGAATGGAATATATTTTCTTAATCTTTGTATTTTTATATCAACATGGTACCAATTATCCTATTTAAATCAATGTGATAAACAATTTAATATTCAAATCAAAATATGATCTTCTGTTATGAAACAGGACATCGATTTCATACATGTCCACTGTAGAGGGGGCAGTCGTGGCCTAATGGTTAGGGAGTCGGACTCGTAACCCAAAGGTTGTGGGTTTGAGTCTCCTACCGGCAGGGGTTGTCGGTGGGGGGAATGAATGTACAGCATTCACTGTAAAATATGATCTCCCACCTTCAATACCACAACTGAGGTGCCCTTGAGCAAGGCACCGAACCCCCAACTGCTCCCCGAGTGCTGCAGCATAAATGGTTGCCCACTGCTCCGGGTGTGTGTTCACTGCTGTGTGTGTGCGCACTTTGGATGGGATAAATGCAGAGCACTAATTCCGAGTATGGGTCACCATACTTGGCCACGTCACGTCACTTTAGAGGACACTAGGATTAAAAGCATGTTTATTACACATTTTGGGAGAAAAAATTATGTATTAAATATGAGATATTATTATGAAAATCTTGCTAATTATTACTCCCATTATTGCACTTATGTGTTCATTCTATGTTGCCCCAAAAACACATTAATATGCAAATTATACCGTTTATAGATACATTGTATATAATGGAAAAACACACATTTTGCATAAAGAAAAATGTTTTTTTTATTCTCCAGATATTAGCCAAATCTAAAAAAAAGCCCTTCTTTTAGAGATGTTATCAAAATACAAAAAAATAAAAGAGAAAATATTCAGCTCAATATTTCTCAATAGATCTCTAGAACAGCTCAGACGACTTCTTTAACAACTGACCTGAACCAGTTAGTGAGGGTCATCATTACGTAGAGGGAAGCCAAAAAGAAAACAAAATGGAAGAAAAAGTAGCTGTAGGCGACGCGATGGGACTCACTGTGGATGACTTTCTGACAGCCTTTGTTCTCGTCAATGACGAACTCTTCCTCTGATGGGACAGAAACAAAGTTGTTAATACCTTCTGTCTCATACACTATTGTGTTTAATGACATTAATATGTGTGTGAAATAAATGGATATTGGAACTTGTGATATTCTTCTCACCATCTTCGGGCTCTGGGCAGCAGAAGCAACAGGAGGCTTTCTGTTCAGGACATATAGTGGGAGACATTGTCAGAGACATTAATTCAAATATTTAAGTACAACATTTCCGTAATTTTAATAGTTTACTTTACCAAAAATGAAAATTCTGTCATAATTTATTCACCCTCGTGTAGTTCCAAACCTGTATGACTTTCTTCTGTGTAACACAAAAGAAGATATTTTGAAGAATGTTGGTAGCCAAACAGTTTCCATTATCATTGCCTTCCATTATATGGACAAAAAATACAGTTGCAGTCAAAGGGAAAACGGAAACTTTGGTTTGCAACATTCTTCAAAATATATTCTTTTGTTTGTTCTGCAGAAAAACGAAAGTCATACAAGTTTGGAATGATAGAATTTCATTTTTTGGGGGGGTTAACTATCCCTTCAAGAGTTAAAGAAGTCAAGTCACTAATATTTTTCTGAGAAAGACACATACCTGGAACTCATAGCGGTAAACTTTTATCATCCAGAAAGGTCCAAAGACCTCAGCTAAGTATGAAGCCTCATTGCTGAGAGAGAAAATCGGCAGTTAGCCTTTCTATTAATATCCCAATACTAATACCTCTTTACTCTTTGTACTTTTTTACTCACCATGCGAAGAGAACACAGCAGTACATGATTGCAGCCCCAATAATGGCCACTGCATTGCCTTCATTCTGAATCTCATCCCTGCTGACTTTGGGGTAGCACACCGTCATGTTGACCCCTTGATACTCCACTGAAAGAACACACAAAAGCTGGTGTTATTCATCACACATTTATTTTGTCCTAATGTGAATTCAATTCCTGATTTGTTTTCCTACAAACTCATCATTCAGGGTTTCAGAATCATGCCCTGTAAGTTCCTGTTGCAATAAAGGAATAGTTCACCCCAAAATTTAAATTGTATTATTTACTCACCCTCATGTTGTTCCAAACCTGTATAGGTTTCTTTCTTATGTTGAACACAAAAGAAGATATTTTGAAGAACCAAACAGTTGTTGGTCCCCGTTGACTTCCATAGTAGGGAAATAAATACTATGGAAGCCAGTGGGGACCATAAACTGTTTGATTACCAGCAAATTATCTTCTTATGTTCAACATAAGAAAGAAACTCCTACAGGTTTGGAACGAAATGAGGGGGAGTAAATAATGACAATATATTCCTTTTGGGGTGAACTATTTCTTTAACAGCAAATTCTCAGTTATTTGAAAACAGCTAATTGAAAATCACTAATTACATTTAGTGTCACATTTACACGCTCCATTTAAGAATTCTTGAGCCCATTGTTGCTGGATTTAGAGATGCTTTAGAGGTCTGTGGATACTGTGTGTTATGTGTCTGAGAGAATTCCTCTGAGATGGGATTAAACTCCCAGCATGCCTCAGGGTGCACTTCAGTCCTTTATGAAGTCATGCAGCAAACAAAGGCTATAAAGCCGCTGATAGTTAGGAAACAAGACAGGACACAACAAACACACATATACACACCCGGCGCCATTCACCAAAATGAAAAAAAGGCACAAGAAGTCAGTACACTGTTTCTCTAGAAGCAACAATACTACCATATTAATCACACTACAAACATGATATTTCAAGCCAAAAGCCCTTCATCAGGCATTATGTAAATCATACTAAATCCAAAATCCTAAAGAATTATTCTGCAATCATTTTACATCAACGGCTATAATTCTTCTTCTCTGAACTTTACCATCCGTATAACATCTGCATTTCAAATACCCACGTGAAGCACCCTTAGCTACATCTGTGTTACATACTTGAGAGCTTTTCTATGACCTCAGGCACCAAAGCTTTTCTTTCTGGAAATCTCTTTCATCTCTGTCCTATGTTAAGCATGCACCATATATGGTGCCATATAATACCATATAATTTTTAAGTTTAACACTTATGCCCATTTAATATTCATGTTTTGTTTAGCTTTATTTTAGCCTTATTTATTCATCTAAAACAATTTTAATAGTTACCTAAATAACTATTTAAATGAACAAAAACTGTTTTTAATAAATAGTTAGCTAAATAGGTTTAGTTAACAATACTATTTATGATGCTGCACATCAAGTTTGTTTAGTTTTTCTTGTTCTTCTTCTTGTATATAATAAACTGTCTATAATATTGGCATTGGATGGAATTAAATTGTAAATTGGGCTACATTTTTTATATTAATATTTGACAAATCAGTATTTGCAAGCAGAAAAGAGCGGAGGGAGAGTAGTCTGAATTGGGTTCTGTCCTGTGGCGGCTGGTGTAAAATTTTCTAGGTAGGGTGCCACGTCCTAAAATTTGTATGATTTATGATTTAAAAATATTATGACTTGAAACATTTTAAATGAAGAAAATTGTTTTGACCGAGTTCAAGATTAAGTTTGAGGATGGTTCTCAAGATAAATAAATGTTTTTTTATTCTCATAATTCACGATTTATGAAACTGTGAGGGAAAAGAATTCACATTAGAGCATTTTCTATAACTACAAGTCAAGCTGCAATACCAAACAGGACCACACGGAGATGTCAACAGACCACTACACCAGTCACCTTAACCTGACTGTATATAAATACAAGGATTCATTCAGAATTATTCAACAGAGCAAAAGACAAATTTAAAAAGCATATAAAAACATTCTGAATTTGTCGAATGTGAGGATCTGAAGACAGCACAACATCACCAGTGAACAGTTCCTCTGTCAGAGTGAGTGTTGAGCCCATATGTATATAAACACCACGAGAGCTGGGTAGTAACTGAACACATGTAATTACGTAACCAGATTCCAAAAATTACATTTTTAAATACTTGTAATCAGACTACAGTTACTTTTTATGGATTACATGATTACATATAATTTACACAATAGCAATAAATTATTCATAATTCATTGATTGATTCTCCCTAATTCCTCTTTTCCATCTTTTAAATTTTCCTTTCTAAACTAGGATTTACAAAAATAATTTCAGGTTTAAGAATTGTTTTAACTTTCCATCAACTAACTACTGATGAACAAATTAATTTTTATTTGAATGATCACTCAGGAGGTTATTTACCCATGCATTTCTATGTCTTTGGAAGATGTGTGTCTTTCAAACACATTAAAATGCACAAATTCACAAACTTTTTTTGTTATCAGATCATCTTTCGCCTAATATATTTACTTGAAGTACCCCTGAGACTTATATAATAAATATTTTAATAATAAAGTATCACATTTGCATGCTCATGGTTCTCTGACGTTGGTTATGGTCACATGACATGCAGGTAAACAAACAAAAAAACATTTTTTAGTAGGCCTACCTGTTTTATTTTGATTGATTTTGAAATGATTGATTTTAATTTAACATTTTTATGATTTCATTAATTATGAGCTTTTCATTAAACTAACAAACCTCCTGCAGTTCCTTCACAAACCCGTTTGGGAAACCTTGACAATATAATGTAATGTTTAATGCACTTCATGCTGTTAATAGCAATGAATGGAATATATTTTCTTAATCTTTGTATTTTTATATCAACATGGTACCAATTATCCTATTTAAATCAATGTGATAAACAATTTAATATTCAAATCAAAATATGATCTTCTGTTATGAAACAGGACATCGATTTCATACATGTCCACTGTAGAGGGGGCAGTCGTGGCCTAATGGTTAGGGAGTCGGACTCGTAACCCAAAGGTTGTGGGTTTGAGTCTCCTACCGGCAGGGGTTGTCGGTGGGGGGAATGAATGTACAGCATTCACTGTAAAATATGATCTCCCACCTTCAATACCACAACTGAGGTGCCCTTGAGCCAGGCACCGAACCCCCAACTGCTCCCCGAGTGCTGCAGCATAAATGGTTGCCCACTGCTCCGGGTGTGTGTTCACTGCTGTGTGTGTGCGCACTTTGGATGGGATAAATGCAGAGCACTAATTCCGAGTATGGGTCACCATACTTGGCCACGTCACGTCACTTTAGAGGACACTAGGATTAAAAGCATGTTTATTACACATTTTGGGAGAAAAAATTATGTATTAAATATGAGATATTATTATGAAAATCTTGCTAATTATTACTCCCATTATTGCACTTATGTGTTCATTCTATGTTGCCCCAAAAACACATTAATATGCAAATTATACCGTTTATAGATACATTGTATATAATGGAAAAACACACATTTTGCATAAAGAAAAATGTTTTTTTTTAAATATCTTTCATAACATAGTTGAGAATCGTCTTTATATAAAGTTTGGTATAAAAAATGAAATGATTTGTGATTAAAACAAAAATTCCCACTTTTCATGTCTATTCATGTCTTTTTATTTCTTAAAAAACAGGACTTTTTAAAGTCCTGATGTCTTCTACAGAGGACATGGCATAACATATGAATAAAATATAATTTTCCAAAAATTTCTTATGCTCTAAACAATGTAATGATATGACAAAATACTAAATTCACAAAACTGTTTTCCTGGTAGTCAGGAGGATATACTTAAGTTTCTTATCTTTCACTAATATGATTTCAAAACAAAAAACAACACCAATAGGCCAGAGGACCATATTTTTATATATTATAATATAAGACAAGAATATATATATACCATGTGCAGTGTTGTGCCATCTCCAACACCAAAATGCTTTTTTCCTCTTGCAGTCGCATTGTCAACATCACTTGGTCATGCAGTTGTTTCTTGATTGAAATGTTTGCTAAGAATCAACAACAGTTATATGAATACATGAGACAATCTATACATGAGCATAATAGCATTTCAATGTTCCACTGAATTGAATATAACAGTTTGCACACAAATTCTTTTCAAAGAAATGTGTTGAGGTTATCTTTCATAAATGGAAAGTGTGAATCCCCACTTTGTGCGCTAATGTAAAATATTCATTGGGTCTATAGTGCCATCTGGTGGATTTAAATAAAAAATGCAATTCACATTATCCAGACTGGCCAGAGACTCGCCATGAGCCTGTAATATAATCACATTAGGCACATAATCACTTTAGTTACAGACTATTCACTACACTTGCCATGTTTTGATCGATATACTTCTTTTCCCATATCAGTTCTGATGCGCAATGTATTGATATCGTATTGGTTGCCAATTGGCTGCCAAATTTAGAGCTTGATTTATTGGTATCAATGTTGATTTAAGTGTGCATTCTCATTTCCCCTATTTTTTACATTTAGATTATCTTTACCATCATGTGACACTCATTTATAGTTAATCTTTAAAGATAATTTAATTTACATTGTTAAATGCAATATTTAGCAAAAAATTCCAAATGAATATCCATTTTTTATACTGTACATTATAATGTTGTGATGTCTAAATTGACTTGTTGTGTTTTACATGATTTATTTGAGTTTTTAGTGTTTTATCTTTGATTATGTAGACATAGTAGTATAGAATTCTAATGGATCATGACTTAATTATAGCCTTGGCCATAACATGTACAACCGTTCAAAAGTTTGGGGTCAGTAAGATTGATATTACAATACTGTAATAATGAATAATAAATAAAGTAATAATATATATACTGTATAGTAATAATAGTAATACTGTGAAATATTATTTAAAACAATTTAAAATGATTTTCTATTTTGATATATTTTAAAATGTAACATTCCTGTAAAAGCTGAATTTACAGTAGCCATGAATCCAGTCTACAGTGTCATTGAAAAAATTAAAAAATTTTGTCAAAAAAAAACAAATTCTGACCCCCCCCACTTTTGAACGGTAGTGTTATTATTGGATTTATTGGTATCAGTCTGCATTTTGATATCAGTGGATCTCTATATATTATTGATCAGAAATATAATATATAATATATATTATATATAATATGTAATATGATCAGCTCACCATGCAAAAAGGATTCTGTGGGAATAAAGAAGGCAGCAGCAATCATTCCAAGCATGGTGATGAACTTCAGAAACCAAAACCTAAGTGAAGATGAGGAGAATGAGTGTGTGTTAGTTTATTTATATTAAGGAACTTAATAAAGCTGTTGGATGAGGCAAGATGTCATTTATATTTTTAATGCAAAATCTGTTGGGGTTGGTCCTACAAGAGCCTCCAAAAATCTGGTTGACCCTCGTCCATATCACGTTCTTCCTCAACAACCTAACGTCTTTTCAAAATATACACTCACAGAAGAACCTTTAATAATCTAAAGAAGAAGAAGTCCACCTTTTGCCACTATAGAGAACCTTTTTGTGCAACAGAAAGGTTCCATATGTTAAAGTTTCTTCTTGGAACCATAGATGCCAATAAAGAACCATTATTTTAAAGAGTATAGGGAATAATGACACTGACCCATTATGAATGAGGGCTCGGAAATCCTGACTAGACTTCACATCAATGTGGAAGATAGCCATCATCAAGTAGAAACAAGCTGTGCCGAAACACACCCTGTAGACAGCAGAGTAGCCCACCAGCATCTGACAGTCTCCTCCACCATGAGCCTCATCACACACCACATTAAAGAAAGGCACCTGAGGAAGAGTGACCTCTGTTATTGTGTTTCTGTAGGGTACAGACTACTGGCATGTGTAGCTGGTGTGTGTCCTGCCAAGCAGATTAGCTAAGATTTGATTGCATGAGACTAGATACAAATGAAATGAGTTTGGGGTGTTTACAGCACCGGCGGTACAGTGATAAAAGTAGGTTAGAACCACTGGAGCCTGTGCAACTTGTAAACAACTTACATTCTCCCTCACTGCCTCTGACACGGTCTTAGACAGCATGAGGCATGAGACAGTGCAGGCCAGGATGTGGAATAGCGTGTACATGATCCGCGTGCTGGTTGATGATTTGACGGGCGGACAGAAGGAGCAGCACAGGGAACATGGTGCCGGGCCACAGCAGCAGCATATCTGACGGAAAGAAAAGCAGACCAGTCAGGGGTTGGGATTAATCAAGATCACTCAAAGCATCTGGAATTTTCTGACGGATCAGGGCTGGTTGCCTGGATGAGGTCCAGGCATCTTTTATCCTCAGCTAAACCCAGAAGCATAGATTGGGCTGAAACTCAATTCCCACTGACTTTAAAGATTAATCTTTTATGAGCATAAAGGATTTGAAATGATAGCGGCATGTGTTATAATGAAAAATCTTTGAGAAATTTTTAACATGTGATTCAATCCAATATCCTGTTGCAGTTATTCACTATTTGAAATGCAGGGAAAAGCCATCAAAACATATAGTAATTCCCAATGGAAATGTCAAACCCTCATATTGTGTTCCGGTTATTTTGGCCCGGAGGATTTTCTTTCTGCTGTTATCACATTGGGCTAAAACTCACCGATTTTACTCGCACCGGGTATAACAATTTCCCAAACTTTTGGGGGGTATTTTTCCCCCTTGTACTTACACTTGTGTGTTCCCAGTCAAAAACGACCCACCTACAAAAAAATGTCTTGTCGTCATATTTAATTACCAAATATTGGATTCAGTCTTTTTAGCAACATGTTTTTTTTTTTTTTTAATTAGCTTAACAATAAGTTTTGTATTTCTTTTTGGAACTAATCGATTGTGGGCCTCAGTGATCCGAGTTTATGCTCCTCAGTTTTTGAGTGAACATGGCCAAAATTATACACAAATAATGCTTTTTTCACTCAAAAACTGAAGTGCAGATCAGTGAGGCCTATGATCAATCAGTTCCAAAAAGAAATACAAAACCTGTGCTAACTGAAAGAAAACAAATTGACAAACAAATGTGGTGATAATACAGCATAATAAGAGATTTACAAGCAATTTTTTTTAAAAGGTTGGCCATTTTTGACTACAGCACAAGGGATAATTCACCCATAATTGTATATTCTGTCATTATTTACTCACCCTCATGATGTTCAAAACCTGGCTTTCCTCCTTCTCATAAACACAAAAGAAGATCAGTGAATGAATGTCATGGGGGACCAGCATTGTTTTAGACCTCACTGATTCATTGTATGGACAAAACCCCCCCAAAAAAACAGAAACATTCTTCTATGTTCCACAGAGTCATACAGGTTTGGAAGGACATGAAAGTGAGTAAAGGATGAGTAAATGATCATTAGATTTGATTTGACATCGCTGTTTAGAGACAAAACCCTCAGGTGCATGGTAGAATGCCATAATTGTTAAACAGAGCAAATTAGTTTTGAAGGAATAGTGACAGCAGAATATTTTTGGCCTAAAATGCCACGACTAAGTATATTTGTGCCAACTGGAGGATTTGATTTGATCCTTTATAGAAACTGATTTACAGAAATTGAACTAAAGTTTTATCAGAGATTCTCATGTCTCAGAAGTAAAACAAAAAAGCGAACTGAACAATGTGTTTATTACAAACAAATAAATCATCTACTCTTGATTACAAGTAATTTCCTTATTAACTAAATGAAATAGGGCTACCCTTGTTTTTTTCAGTAATTTATTTGATAAATTGTTCAATGAACAAGTTTGTGCATCGCTATGTGACCCTGAACCACAAAACCAGTCATAAGGGTCAATCTTTTGAAATTGAGATTTATACATCATCTGAAAGCTGAATAAATAAGCTTTCCATTGATGTATGTTTGTTAGGATAGGACAATATTTGGCTGAGATACAACTATTTGAATATCTGGAATCTGAGGGTGCAAAAAATAAATAAAAATCGCCATTAAAGTTGTCCAAATGAAGTTAGCAATGCATATTACTAATCAAAAATTAAGTTTTTATATATTTACGGTAGGAAATTTACAAAATATCTTCATGGAACATGATCTTTATCCTAATGATTTTTGGCATAAAAGAAAAATCGATAATTTTGACCCATACAATGTTTTTTTGGCTATTGCTAAAAACATACCCAAACGACTTAAGACTGGTTTTGTGCTCCAGGGTCACATCTTGTACTTAAAATACACTTGAGACAAGCTGTCTAATTACTATATAACTCAAACTGCTCTTAATAAATCAGTGGCAATATTCCTACAGCGGATAAAAACACACTGACTCTTAATGCTCATGATGATAGAATGAGTCATCCATCGTCTTAATTTCTTTTGACAGAAAGCACTTTCCATGATGCCTGTGCGTTTCTGTTGAGAGAGGAGTTTTACCTTCTCATACCAAACAACAACCATAACAACTGACCAAATGATTTTAACAGTGCAATAAAAACAGTAGTCATCTAAAATAGTAGTGGAATTAAAGAGTAAAAGTGATTGTTATATTCTGGTGAATAAACTCAACCACTATTACGTAGTTATTCAAATGAAATGCACTAATGCAGGATTAAATAGTTAATACAAATAAAATGAGAAATGAGCTGAGTACTAAGAGTGTTATGCCAGAGCATTATGACAACCTATAAACACAGTGTGTCACTTCACAAGCTTTTCAATCATTTTCTCAATGATCCAACTAAAGCCACAGACAAAAATTCTGCAATCCAGTACCTGAAAATGTTATAGTCATATGATAAGTAACATAGGCAGGTTACTTATGTTTATCATTCATCATAAACCGTCTTTCAGTTCTAAGTTCTACAAAGGCAGATTAGGTTCTTGTAAGAGAAGCTTGAATAAATCTTTTCTTGTATTCCAGTGATCAGAGAATTATGAGAAATAAGTATCATCTGAAAAACCTGACATGTCATTCTCACATCTCCCCTCACTATGAAATAATCTCCATCTCTCCCTCTCTCACCTGATAAGCCACCATGTTCAGGAAATAGTTGTAGACACCGCTTTGGTGAAAAGCTTGATCAGTCGACATGGCTTCTTATTTTTCAAGGACGCTTAGTCATTAAAACACGACCTCCAGAAAAATTAAAAAAAGTATATGCTATAAACAGTCAGGGTCAGAACACTGTATTATCTGTAGGAGCTCAGCTTTACAGGAAAGAGTCCTCAGCTAGTTTCTCCTGCAGGTGTAGTTCCACTGATCCCCATCTGCACACCCTCATGTTGCTCTCGTGGGAACATCTGAACATTCTTCCTATATCCTATGCGAGCAGCCTGGTGGCATCGAATGGTGTCATGAGAGTGTGTGAGCAAGGGTGGATGCCCAGTTGCCTGGACTCTAGATTAGGCAACAAGAGTAGCGGGAGGAGGGGGCAGGTTCTATGTGTTGGCCCATCTGTCCCTCCCTTCCCCCTCGCTCCAGTGCACCAGCGCATCCTCGTGCACAATAGGATTGCTCCAGGGTCCTAATCGGTTTAGGGCTAAATAATGAAATTATACTTGCAATATTGTGATTTCTCTCACAAAGTAGACAAACCTTTAGATCCCCCCTTTTGACATCTTAGCAACCATTCACTTGTCTGACTTTATATGTAATCTAGTCATTATGCTTTGACCCAGACACTGAAGGGTGCAATTGAAGCAGGAATGCACAGGAAGAGTGGCACAGGTCCAGTCCCACATTCTTTTGCATACATTGACCACAGCCTCATTGTACATTGTACAACTTCACACAATAAGTCGTCGAAATCAGAGACAGATTGTTTCAGTTGTTATAATGAAGTGGATAGGAGTTGTTAGTGTGCAGAGCGGCCGGTAGCTCTATATTTAGGTCAGTGTGTATTTGTGAGGATGTGCACTGGGATTATCCTGGAGTTTTTAGTCCTCGTCTCAGCCTGGGTGACCTCTCTCCGGTAGAGTGACACACTAATCCAGACAGCAGGGTCTGACAAACACAGTCCCACTTGAACTCATCATCAGCCTTCAGCCTTCGTGTACAGACATGACATCGTACATGACATTGTGATTCATAAATCACACTTGAAATCACTCAAAAGTAGAATTTGTTATTATTTACTCACCCTCATGTCATTCCAAACCTATATGACTTTCATATTGCTTCTGCGGAACACAAAAGAAGTCCAAACACTGGACCACTTTCATTTTACGAAATGCAATATTTCATTTTATTTTTCACAATATCTTCTGATTAAACTTTATTTGGAAACACTTTATTTTAAGGTGTCCTTGTTACACGTTACATGTATTTACTATTATAATACAAATTAATTATGCATAATTACATGCAAGTAACCCTAAGCCAAACCCAAATCCTAACCCTAACCATATAGTAAGTACATGTAGTTAATTAATATTACTCCATACTTGTATGTATAATTACACTGTAACAAGGACACCTTAAAATAAAGTGTAACCGTTTAGTTTAAGGTGATGTTGTTACACTGTAATTACACAAGCAAGCACTGAGTAATGTTAATTAAATATATTTACTATAGGGTTAAGATTAGAGTTTGGTTTAGGGTTACGGTTATAGCTAGTTTACTGTTATTATTATAGTAATTACATGAAACATACACTTTCAAAAATGTTGGGTTAAAAAGGGACAAACCCAGCTATTGGGTTGTTTCGGCCCAGCGGTTGGGTTGTTTTGAACCCAACCGCTGGGTCAAAACAACCCAATAGCTGGGTCAAAACAAACCAACCGCTGGGTCAAAACAACCCAATAGCTGGGTCAAAACAAACCAACCGCTGGGTCAAAACAACCCAATAGCTGGGTCAAAACAACCCAACCGCTGGGTCAAAACAACCCAATAGCTGGGTCAAAACAACCCAACCGCTGGGTCAAAACAACCCAATAGCTGGGTCAAAACAACCCAACCGCTGGGTCAAAACAACCCAATAGCTGGGTCAAAACAACCCAACCGCTGGGTCAAAACAACCCAATAGCTGGGTCAAAACAACCCA